AAGAAAGAAAGAAAGAAAGAAAGAAAGAAAGAAAGAAAGAAAGAAAGGAAGAAAGAGAAAAAAACCAAGCTAGAAATGTGGAAATGTAGTCTGACTGGCATATTATGCAGGGCCCTGGGCTCAGCTCAGTGCTGCAAGAGAGGAAAAAAACAACAACAAAAACAAAAAAAACAGGGCTGGAGAGATGGCTCAGCGGTTAAGAGCACTGACTGCACTTCCAGAGGTCCTGAGTTCAAATCCCAGCAACCACATGGTGGCTCACAACCATCCGTAATAAGATTCAATGCCCTCTTCTGGTGTGTCTGAAGACAGCTACAGTGTACTCATAAATAAAATAAATAAATCTTAAAAAAAAATTAAAAAAAAAAAACAAAAAAACAAAAAAAACAGCCTTTGATTCAAGCACTTGGAAGGCAGAGTCCCACAAATCCCGAGAGTCTGAGGCCATGATGGTTTACACAGTGAGTTTCAGGCTAGCCAGAACTGCAGAGTGAGACCCTGTTTCAAAACCAAGCAAACCAGCCAGGCAGTGGTGGTGCACGCCTTTAATCCCAGCACTTGGGAGGCAGAGGCAGGTAGATTTCTGAGTTTGAGGCCAGCCTGGTCTACAGAGTGAGTTTCAGGACAGCCAGGGCTACACAGAGAAACCCTGTCTCAAAAAAGAAAGAAAGAAAGAAAGAAAGAAAGAAAGAAAGAAAGAAAGAAAGAAAGAAAGAGAGAGAAAAGAAAGAAAGAGAAAGAAAAGAAAAAAACCAAGCAAACCAAACCAAAAACAAAACAAAAAATAATGGCACCCCTGTAATCTTGGTACTTGGGAGGAAGGGCAGGAGATGAAGGACAGCCTTCTTCTCTTCATAGTTTCACACCAGCCTGGGCCATCCTGAGGCCTAGCTCAAAAACCTATGAATTCAAAGAAAATACATAGTTTTTCTCTTAATTTCTTCTTTCCTTTCTTTTGTTTTATTTGCTTGTTTGTTTTTTTGAGACAGGGTTTCTCTGTGTAGCCCTGGATGTCCTAGAACTTGCTCTGTAGACCAGGTTGGCCCCAAATTTAGAGATTTACTTGCCTCTGCCTCTTGAATGCTGGAACTAAAAGTATGCACCACCACACCTCACTTAGGCTCTGATGTGAAGACTTAGTTCTGTGGCAATTGAGTTGACCTTTATCCCTCAGTCTGGAGCTCTTGAGAGGAGGGTGGAATTTTTCCAATATATCTTGCTTCTAGCAAGGTACAGTACTTGTCACCTTTAGTTGCCCCATATTTACAACATACATGGCCATAGCCAAAAGTGATTGAGAGGCTAAGTATAGTGACCCATACATATATAATCCCAGCACTGAGAGGGAGACTGGGGCAGGAATACTGCCAGAGTTCAAGGCCAGCTTGGGTTGTATAGTGATTTCAGCTTGGGCTAGTTGAGCCCTTGTCTCAAAAAAATAAATAAAATAAAATAAAATAAAATAAAATAAAATAAAATAAAATAAAATAAATACAGTGAGCAGGATGTGGTGCATGCTCTTCAATCCCAGCACTAGGGAAGCAGAGGCTATGAGTTCAAGGCCAGCCTTGTCTACCTAGTTCCAGGACAGCCAGTGCTACATAGTGAGATCCTGTCAAAGAAACAAAACCAAAACACAGGCAGAGAGATGGCTCAGTTGTTAGGAGCACTCCTTCCTTTGCAGAGGATCCAGATTTGCTTTATCCAAGGCTTCTCACCACCATCTGTAACTCTAGTTGGTCAGGATCTGATGCCCTTTTCTGAGTTCCTCAGGGTCTTGCATGAATGCAGTACATAAAATGCATGCACACGTGTAAACACACACACACACACACACACTTAAACATAACACAGGGACTGAGTAACCTGGCCCAAGACACCCCCCCCCTTTTTTTTCTTTTTTCGTTTTCAAGACAGAGTTTCTTTGTGTAGCTCTGGCTTTCTTCAAACTTGCTCTGTAGATCAGGCTGGCCTCCAACTCACAAAGATCCGTCTGCCTCTGTCAAGCGCTGCAATCAAATATATGTGCCACCCCCTGGCCCCTGAGCCCCATTCTGACAGGTGGGAGAGAGCAGAAACCACTCTGTTTCCTAGACCACACAGCTCCTGAGAGCCTGGCTTGGACTTCGCTGTCTTGAATTCTAGTGTTCCCAGGCCCTATCTTCCTGTGCTTGGCTACACTGGTATCTACACACAGCAAGTTATTTCAGTCACTGAACTTTTGGTGGCTACAAGCGTCACGTTTTCAGTTTGCTGCTCTGGGATAAAGTGTTGTCCCTGACCAGAAGGTACAAGGAGTTCCACACCTACTTTTAGGCTCAGGAGATACGTACAGAACAGAGAGTAATCTGGCCATTATCTATTCAGTTCAACAAGCACTTACAATGTGTCTCTAAACCACGGGGGATGTACAAGGAACATCCTGTTCCCTCTTTTCAGGGGGTGGGGAGGAGAGATAAGTAAATCCAAGTGTGTGAAATGGTAGCACTGTACAATTTTAATTTTAGTGTGTGTGGAGAGGTGGCTCAATGGTTAAGAGCACTGGCTACTCTTCCAGAGGTTCTGAATTCAATTCCCAGCAACCACATGGTAGCTCACAACCATCTGTAATGGGATCCAGTGACCTCTTCTGGTGTGCCTGACACCAGTGTGTCTGACAGTGTACTCATATATGAAATAAATAAGTCTTAAAAAAAAAACACACCACCAACAAAGACCACATGCTCTCTAGCGGAGAATCCAAGTGTGACTCTCAGTACCCACACTAAGCAGCTCACAGCCGTCAGCTGTCGGCAACGCCAGCTCAAGGGGGACCCAACTCGTACGACTTCTGCTCATCAGCACACAGACACCCCTACGCACACACACACACACACACATACACACACACACATACACAAATTAAAAATAACAGAAATTAAAAAGAAAAAAAATAAGGTTAAATGGGGAACGGGAGAAGGACCATGAGAAGATGTGGGTGACTTAATGTGGGATATTCAGGGGAACTCTAAAGAGGTGGGATTTTAAAAAGAAGGGACAGGTCATGCATTCAAGGAGCCTGGAGCAAAGCAGTATGGGCAAGAGGGGGGGAGGATGGGGTTAGGAAGGAGGCCAGGGGCTGGATAACGTTGGGGCTCATTTTCAGGATCTTGGCTGTTACCTTGAGGGAGCTGGGAGCCAAGGTGGGCTTTGAACCCAGGAGCCAAATGAGCAGGAGTGTTGAGAGGGTCTCTGTACTGTGCTGAGAACAGGTTGAAGGCAGCAGGCCAGGGTGAGAAGAGAGACAACTGGGAAAGAACCAGCAAGAAGAGATTGCAGGTAATGATGACTTCAACGTGCCAAGAGTAGAACTGATGAAGGCTTTTGAGAACAACAGGATCTTTCTTGGTCTAGTTATTCTTGGCTCAAGCTCCTAAGGTGTCAGATACTCAAAGACCTCCAAAGGTCAAGCTGAGACAGTGGCAGGCAGACTCTTGTGGGAGAATGTAAAACAGAAGCAAGCTTGATTAAGGTTACAGAAAAGTGGGGATGGAGAGACGTCTTGGGAGGCTACTTGAGTCCACAGGCACTCATGTGGTACACAGACACATGCAGCCAAAAACTCCCACCCACATAATAAAATTCAAAACAAAAAGAGAAATTAAGAATGGGTAGGGATTCTAAGGGAAGAAAACGCCACTGAACTTCCTTGTCTAGGATTTTTATAGGGCTGTAACAGTAACTGGATGAAAGATGAGGTAATTGTGTGAGAGTGGTTAGCTCTCAGAGATAGACATCACTGGGGTGGCCAATGGAGAACAAACATGCTCTGTGCATATCTGCTTGGCCCAGTCAGGGAGATAATACTGGGCTGCCCACCCAGGTAGGAGTCACTGGGGTCCCTTCTCTTGGCCTTTGACTTGTACTTGGTTCCTTGCTGACCTTGACCTTCTGCTGCCGTTTGCCACTTGGCCAGCGTTACAACCTCCAGCCTTGTGTCTCTGTTCTAACACTTGCAGGACCAGCTTGACCCTTTGCCATGGCATGGTGTGATCTCCGTCACAACCACAAAGAGAAGAACTCCAGCCTTTCTTGGTTACCCATACTTAGCTCTTTGTCTCTGGAGTGGTCTAAGATGGTCTCCCAGGTAGACGCTTGTTAGATGGAATCTGACTTCCTTGCTATTCTGGATGTCAGAGTTAGCTTCCTTAGAAGCAACAGTGTAAGTGGATCACACAGTCCTCAAAGGTTTTGGGGAGGAGCAGCTGGAGCCATTAGCTTAGGTATCACACACCCAGTTACAGGCCCTGTTCTTCATCCTTTTCAGTGCTCCAGATGACAATTTTGTTTTATTTATTGCATGTGTGGGTGCTCTATCTGCATGTACACATACATACCAGAAGACAGCATCAGATCCTAGTATAGATGGTTGGGAGCAACCACAAGGTTGCTGGGAATCGAACACAGGATCTCTGGAAGAACAGACAGGGCTCTTAACCACTGAGTCGTCTCTCCAGCCCCAGACTGACATTTTAATGTTAGCTTCTGTTCTCACTGCAACATGCAGCATGTTCTATTTTCACAGGAATCAGATCACACACACACACACACACACACACACACGCGCGCGCGCGCGTTTATGCTTTTATTTATTTTGTGTACTGCAGGGGTGCACATGGACCAAGGTGCATGTGTGGAAATGTGAGGGTGAATTGAGGAGTTGGTCCTCTCTTGCCATGTAGATCTGGGGACAACCTCTTGAATCTCCAGGATTAGCAGTGGGGGCCTTTACTCACTAATTACCCCACTATCACCCATGACTTTTTTTTTGTTTTTTTGAGACCGAGTCTTACTTTGAATGTACCTCAGACTAGTCTGGAACTCAGAGATCTGTTTGCCTCCTGAGTGCTGGGATTAAACGTGTGCACCGCTATGCTCAGCCCCTCAAAGCCTCATTTGAAGGAAGAATGAGGCTGGAAAGATGGCTCAGCGGTTAAGAGCATTGACTGCTCTTCCAGAGGTCCTGAGTTCAATTCTCAGCACCCACATGGTGGCTCACAACCATCTGTAATGAGATCTGATGCCCTCTTCTGGTGTGTTTGAAGACAGATACAGTGTATTCATATAAATAAAATAAAACAATCTTTTTAAAAAATGAAGGAAGGGCCGGTTGTGGTGGCACATGCCAGTAGGATTTGCTGAAGGAGGCAGAGGCAGGAAGAAAAAAATGAAGGAAGAATGACATTTGCCATTTTGACTTAGATGTAGGGTACAAGAGAAAAACGGAAGATGAAGACGTACTTTAGAACAGATACAAAGAAGGTTCAAGGGGGATTTCAGGAAACCGAGGGCACAAAAGCAGCATCTGCCTTTGCTAATGCAGTAGTTTGTTTGCTCTCGGCTTCCCAGAGGGATAAAGAACAGACTGAAGGAAGAAGAGAAGTCCAAGGTGGCAGAAGTATACAAAGCTGCCTGGAAGACTGGCAAAGCCCTGTAAGGATTTAAGCATCTGGACATCAACTGTGGGTGAGCCTCTGCAGGCTTCTGCTCTGGCAAGAAGGAAAGTAAACTTGGTGTTCTGCACAGGACTGGGGATGCTGAAGGTGGTGGCAGTCAGGTGACAATGGAACTCATCTGGTGGAAGTCATGACAGTAGGTGTTAAAGAGGCTTTGTGAAGGAAAAGCTTCCCCATTTGGTGACAAAGTTAAATGGAATTACAAGAGTGTTAATCAAGGGATTGGGGAGATGGCTTAGAGGTTAGAAGCACTGGCTGCTCTTTCCAAGGTCCTGAGTTCAAATTCCAGCAACCACATGGTGGCTCATAATCATCTATAGTGAGATCTGGTGCCCTCTTCTGGTGTTCAGGCATAGATGCAGGCAGAATGCTGTATATATAATAAACAAATAAATCTTAAAAAAAAAAAGTGTCAGTCAATAAAAAGCACTGGCTGGTGGTGGCGAAAACCTTTAATCCCAGCACTCTGGAGGCAAAGACAAGCAGATCTCTGTTAGTTGGAAGCCAGCTTCATCTACAAATCTGAGTTCCAAGATAGCCAAAGTTACACAGAGAAATCCTGTCAAAAAACCAAACCAACCAAACACCAAGTAGGCACTCAAGTACCAGTGAACAGGGCACTAGAACATGGCTATCCTTTTTGTTTTTAAGATGGGTCAAGCCAGCTTGGTGGCAGAGGCAGGCACATTCTGAGTTCCAGGCCAGCCTGGTCTACAGTGAGTTTCAAGACTGCCAGGGCTGTACCGTGAGACCCTGTCTCAAACAAACAGACAGACATAGGATCCCATGTAACCCAGACAGGCCTTTAACTCCCGATTCTGATCCTCTTCCTGCAGTACAGTCTAGGGATCATCCCTAGTTAGGCACATTCTTGAAGCCCCTAGCAAAATACTATGGGGCCAAGATTCTCCCACATGAGGTTGGCGGCTCTCTTAGTTACCTTTTTAATGCTATCGTAGATACCATGACCAAGGCAACTTATAAAAGACAATTTAATTTGGGGCTCATATTTCTAAAGGTTTAGAATCCATGACCATCACGGCAGAGAACATAGCAGCAGCAGGCAGGCAGGCAGGAATGGTACTGGGGTTGAGCGTTTACATCTGATTTACAAGCATGAGACACAGAGAGAGTGCTACCTGGGAATGGCAGGGTCTTTGGAAACCTCAGAGCCCAAGGCCAGTGACACAATTCATCCAACAATGCCACACCTCCTAATAATTCGCAAATGGTTCCACTGAAGACCAAGTATTCAACATATGGGCGTAAGGAGGCTAAGCTCATGAACCACTGCGTGGCTATAGTGCTGTTTGCCTGTGAGCAACAGCGCCTCTCTTAGAGACTCCAACCCGACCTTGGTTGCCTGAAACTTGGGTGGGAGCCCCTTACCCTGGAAGTACTAGGTCAAGTCTGAAAGAGAGGGGATCGGGGAGGGTTGATTGGAAGAAAGAGAAAAGAGAGGTATGGTGGTACGGTCAGGCATGGTGGTGTACACGGAACCCCAGCACTGAGGAGGCTGGGGCAGGAGAATCATCATGTGTTAGAGACTATGGCATTCTGGCTAGGCCTATGGGCAGAGGAGAGCAGAGGAATCCGAATCGCCATGAGACAGAGAGCCCAGATACTGGGTACCTTAGTCTCCATCTGTACAATTCTCCATCATCCCTGCTACCCAATCCTAACAAGTCAGACCCTGGTCTCTCTCTTAGTAAGCTTTTACTTATTGTTTGGAGACAGTGTCACCAAGGCTAGCCTTGAATTCAAAGTCACACATGTCCCACATGTGCCGAGTGCATACTACCTCACCCAGCTAAATTTTATTTTAGTCTAATGAGGACTGAGGGAAAAAATATACATATATATAAAGTGCTTAAATTTAGAGTTAGGGATTGGGAGAAGAGCAAAATTCCCTCTGAGAACACACCCTTTGGAACTTTCCAGTTCCTTAGAGATGAAAGAGGATATAGCTTTGAAAAAAGGAAATAAAAGTCTCTCCCAGGTTGTCCTTGAACTCATAATCATTTGGTCTGTCTCCCTAGTACTGAATTTACAAGTATTCACCAACAAGTCTGGCCCTGAAAATAAATTTTTAAGGATAAAAATTATCCTTGCACTTTCTCTTGGCCATGCTGGATAACCCACAGTGGTAAGAATCATCACAAAAGCAGGCAGACCAACTGTGTGGAGAACAAGTCTATTTCAGTGGAGACCCGAGGACGAGAGGGTGAGAGCGGCAGGTGAGGGCTCTGCGTGCTGTACCAGGAACAAGGCGGCTTTCTCCTCCTCGGGAACCCTCTCCAGTAGATGTCGGGCAAAGGCTTGCTCCATCTGTACAGAAGGAAGTGAGGAGCAGGCCTCAGTGAGCACTGCAGGGACAGCCACCACCCTGCAGCCCCTTCCCCTCAGGGGGAGTTATTTGAGACAAATCCATATCTAGCTCCACGCTGGGGCTGACCTTACCCGCACTGTGATAAGATTCTCTTGGGTATGGCCAGAGCCAGGGCTCCCTTCCCAGAAATGCAGTGTTGCTTGGAACTTGGGTCGGGGCCCCTGGCCCTGGAAGTACTGGACCAAATCTGAAAGAAAGAAAGAAAGAGGGTCAAGGATTGGAAGGAAGAAGGCAAGGCATGGCAGTCAGCCAGGCATGGTGGTGTACACCCGTAATCCCTGCACTCAAGCTGGGGTGGCAGAGTTGCCATGTTTGAAGCAGCCTGATCTACTTAGTGAGTTCCAGGACACCCAGAGTGATGTGAGGACTTGCCACAAAAGCAAAACCAAAACCACAGAGAGGACCGTGAGTGAAGTGCCACTGCCTGTGAAGGCAGGTGCAGGGAAAGCAGGATGGGGTAGCACGGGCACCCATGGCCAGAGTAGAAGCTGTGGCTTAGAGCTTCAAAGAGGAACTAAGCTGTTCTCAGGAACGGCAGCCCCTTCCTGGAGTTTTCAGCAGCAGATGTGGCGGCTGAGAGGCTTGCAGTCCTCAGAAGCAGCAGCCCTGCCTACCAACCCCTTTGTTGCTTGTGTACTCTGCCAATACTAGGACACTATGATCCTAGGGACGCCTGCACTCTGTCCTCAATGTTCCTCTCTCCACTCCTCTGCTTGGATTTTAGAGGCTGTAACTGGAATCTCAAGAGTGGACAGTCTTAGGAGAAGATGCTTACAGTGTATGCCAATGTATGAGGAGACAGTCACAAGGCTTAAAAACCTGTGTGAACTCAATTGTACACATTCACATAACCATGTTGCTTCCCCAAAAAGCATCACTATGTGCTGAACTCCAGGTGAACCTCATCTACCATAGCCTTGGCTAGGGAAAGGCTGCCAGAGTGGAACACATGGCCACATAGCATGCCTATCATACAATGCTGGGGTCCCGTGCAGTGAGGATGTGCTGCTGGGCAGGGTAGTGGGGAAACCCACCTCAGGCCCAGGATAACGAGGAAGGGGAGGTGCTAAGGTGCCCAGCTGGGACACCCTTACCTCTACAGAAGTAGGTAGTCCTGAAGAGCTCCACACACTTATTGCTGGGCAGTAGATGAGGACCAGGCCCAGGTGGGGCCTCGGGTGCATTCCAGGAGATGGGGATAGGGCAAAGGCGCTGAACAAAGAGGCCTCTGGAATTGCTGGCCACCAGGATGCCTCTCTCGAGCTGACTCAGCAGGCTCTGGATAGGCTCCAGTGGACCAGGTTTGGGAAACTCCACCTGCATCATGCTTCTCTCTGAGTCTGAGCGCTCAGCCACAAGCCGACAGTCTAGGCTGTGGACCTTGGTCTCACCCACCACATGGCCATCATAGATGAAGGTGAGCAGCAGCGAGTAGTCTGGGGACAGAAAAGTACAGCTAGGTGCACTATAGTACTACACTAGGTGCAGGAGGAACCCGAAGGCTGCTAAGAGGCCCTCTCCCCAAGGGAACCTAAGTAACACAAGGCTTTAGAAAAGTGAAGTTCTGTGTAGTCTGGTTTCTGCATTTTTGTTAATGAGAAAACTGAGGTCCAGAGCAGGAATCCAAGAAAGTACTGGGAGACATGATTGCAAGGCTGAGGCTGCCCCTTCTTAGTTAGAGAAGGTTCCTTTTGTCTGATAATGTGGCTCAGTTGAAAGAATGGTTGCCTATCATGCTTAAAGCCCAAGACAGGGTTCAATCCCCAGTACTGCATAAACCCTTAGAACCAGCACGGTAGTATATCTGTAATCCCAGGAGGATCAGGAATTCAAGGACCTCTTTGACTATACAGTGAGTCTGAGGTCAGTCTGTCTTTATGAGATTGTCTTTTAAAAAAAAGAAAAAAAGAAAGGTGCCTTCCTTCTCCACGTGGACTCTTTCCTCTTTCTCCTGTCACTCAGGAGTCCCGCCCATCAGAGCTTAACGCTCGTGGCTGCTCAGAGTACGGAAGGCCTCACAGACTGGACTTTTCTGGATGATAAATGTTTCAATGTGGCTGTTTAAGGAACAAAGTACTTAAGGTGTTTCCTGAGGGCGAGAAAGCTCTGTAAAGTGTGATCGGCCACATGAACTGTTCAATCTGCAGAAGAGGTTCTTCTAGGATAAGGTGGGCCCGTTATAAGCCTGGCTGGGTAGACATAGCAGGCAAGTTCAGAGGAAGCAGACCCAAGAGGAAGGGACCAGGGAAGGGTCAGAAAGGCCACAAACCTGAGTTCAGAGGAAGCTGGTGCTCCATGAACACCGGGTCCTCTCTAATGGTAGCTTCCATTATGCCAGCTCCTGGATGGGGGCAAAGGCACCGATCATTCAGAGCGGGACTGAAGGGCCCAAGAGAAAGTGTGCAATAGATATAGAGGTGGGGGACATGGTGCCGTACCTTCCTCTAGCTCAGAGCTGCTGCTGCTGCTGCTGCTGCTGCTGCTGCTGCTGCTGCTGTTGCTGCTGCAGCTGTCACTACCACTGCAGCCACGGCCGCTGAAGTTACAGCCACTGTCTGAGTGGTTTACAACTCCATTGGCCCTCCCATTTTCCTACAGAAACAAATATATTTCGCTGGCACACCCCTCCGTTTGTTTACACTATCCTGCCCTTTGACCTCCCAGTTCCTCTTCTGAGCGCTCTCATTGTCAAGGGCACCATGAAGGCAGGGATAACTGAGTGCCAAGTTCTCGGTGGTACCCTTCCTTACCTTATTCTCTTCCCTCTCTGGTGACACAGAACTGATACTTCGCTTGAATGGTGACTTCTGGTTTCGTGGTTGGGCTGTGGAAATGTTGCAGGTAGAAGAACGTTAGGTCTTCTACAAAGATGGTGGGGGAATAAGTATCTGAAGCAACAAAAAGCTGGGCAGGACTAGAGAGCCCAGGAAGGCCTGTCAGCCCATGGAAGGCTCTCATTCCTATCCTGGTCAATCTGCCCCTTCCAGGAGTGGTGGGGCAAGGGAACACTCACTAGGGAGGGTTCCTGCTGGCAGTATTCGATATACTTTGTAGGGTTCAGCAACATCCATACGACCTCTCTCAGGAACCTCCTCAAATTCAGAACTCTTGTTGAGGGCACAGCGTAGGCGAGTCTTCCAGACAGCAGGGTGTCCTATGTCCCCATCTTTGTGCTTTTCCTTAAACAGTGCCCAAGCCTAGTAAAGGATGAAATGAAGAAAAGAAAGTATTACACAACCAGATGTGCCTCCAAATGGCTGAGTTGCACAGGCATGTGGCCTGAGCAACTGTATGGGACTTGGAATCAGATGAGCCTACACTGGGTTTGTTTGTATTCTGTTCTTGTCAGCTTGAAATCTTAGTAATTTTTAACCATGTGTCTCCAAAGGACCTGGTTGGTTCTACTTTCTGGTATTTCCTTTATCCAAACCCCAGACAGACAAAAGTGCTTTGGGATAGACACACCAGTACAGACACCATCCTCTTCTTGAAGGGATGTTGGCTTCAGGAACTCCCACCTTGAAAATGGCAGCATCCTGGTCCTCTCGGAAGTCTTGCTTGCCTGCATGCTTCCAGGGGATCCGGAACATGGTCTTGGCTGTATCGTCCCAGCACACCCCTGCGAACTGCCCACTTTCCACCTGCTCCACAATCCAGCTCCGGAGCTTCCGGGTGCAGCGTACTTTGCCTGAGGCCATCCTAGGAAAGGGAAGCAGGATATATGAGAACTATTTTTAAATTTTGAGACAGGCCGGGCAGTGGTGGCGCACACCTTTGATCCCAGCACTTGGGAGGCAGAGGCGGGCGGATTTCTGAGTTCGAGGCCAGCCTGGTCTACAGAGTGAGTTCCAGGACAGCCAGGGCTACACAGAGAAACCCTGTCTTGAAAAACCAAAAAAAAAAAAAAAAAAAAAAAAAAAAAAAAAAAAAAAAAAAAATCGAGACAGGATTTCACTATGTTATCCTGGGACTCACTATATACCAGCAAACCGGACTTAAGAGATCCACCTGTCTTTGAAGTGCTGGGAGAACCAAAAGCTTGAGAAGCTCCTGGGCCAGCTGCATGCAACAGCCCTTCCCTAAGGACCTTTCCATGTTCTTTTCTCTCTAGAAACATTCTCTGAGGTAGAAACTATTTCTTAGAATTTCTATTTTAATATTCCAAGTGATTACACCTGCAAGGAAGCCTCGGACATTGGTCTTAATAAGTTGAAGAGTTTCAGATAGGTATTATTTGGGAGAATTCCCTTAATGACCTGTTCTTGTAACAGACTGTTTGGATTCCAAGCATCTACAGAGGTAACATTTGCTCTTAAGGCATCTCCCCAGCCCACTGACCACCTCACTATCATCCCCCTCGTTGCTAGAGAGGTAGGTGGGGCAGTAGCTGGGGGCAAGGGCGGAGTTGAAGAAGTGGGCAGGGCCAGAGGCCAAAAGAAAAAAAACAAAGGTCAACTGAGGCCCAACAAGGGACCTTCCTCAACAGTTAAGTCGGCAGCAGTCCCTCCTGTCCTGTCCTCAGGCCTGGTATCAGTGTCTCATTCAGACCAAACCTACTTTCGGATTCACAAGCCTCTCTGACTCCCTGTAGCACAGGGCCCTGGAAGCCCTCAGCAGACCCCCCTCATTGCTTCCAGCTGGCTCCCCTGCAGAGTTGCTCTTACCTGAGCGACCGAGGATGTCCCAGACTCCGGTTGTTCTAGGCTGTTTCTGATCTCTCCTCCCCTTTCTACAGTCCCCACCCTAAGTTTCAGTTCTCCTCCTGGGAGGTGCAGTTCCTAGAAATCACGTGGTCTGAGTTGCAGGGCAAGCGGTGACCGCCAGAGGGAAGCAGCATCCGAAGCTTTCAGCAGCAGAATCACCCTGTGGCTCCAGTCAGACTCCTCCTTCCTCCCAGAACCACTCCCCGTGTCTGTTTCCCAGGAAGGCAATCTCCAGATCTGACCCGGAGATTGAAGTGTGTTCCCCAATAGTGTCTGCTTGGTATATTTTAGGTGATTCTCACAGAGCAGTCGAGGTAAATGAAGGGAAAAGAGGAAGCTGAGCCCACGCCAGGTGGTTAGGTGTGGATGGTCTCTGTTGTTCGTCCGTGGTGTTTCATTTCTTCCTGGCCAGGTGTCCAGGGGTGGTTGGATGGTAGGCTGTAGGGGGCCCTTCCAACAGGATTCTGTCCTTCTACCCCCTCCCTTTCCCTAATGCCCCTAGATGCTGAGGCCAGGAAGAAGGACCACCAAGAAGCCTAGGCCATAAGATGCCTCTTTATTGGTGCTGGAACTGCTGCTGAGGGCTGGGTCAGGAAGTTCCCTCAGGACCCGGCCCTCAGCTACTTTCTTCTTCGGGCAATACTCTGTCCCAAGGGTACCTCTTCTCTCAGCTTCTGCAAAGGACAGAGGATAATGATATTGGAAACCTGCAGTGGAGAAAGAGACTGTCACAGGTGATTGTTGGAAGGGCAGAGGAAAAGCTGGGCATGACAGCACTACCTGTAACAATCTGGCCTGGTAGGCAGGCAGGTCCTCTCCCTCCGTGGGCTGGGGAGCTAAATGTAGGTAGCGTATAATGGCCGTCTCCAGCTCCTCCACTTCATACAGGGTCGCTGGGTCCAGTGAATGGGCATTGATGAGGCTCACAAGATACTCTTTGTAGTGTGCCCTGGGGAGGGAAGGGAGCAGAGTATTCATTCTCCTGTTTCATATTAGCCGCATGCGCCTAACACCTTGTTTTTATTGTGGTATGTTGTACGAACCCACCCGCATGCCTGTCACAGTGAACATATGCAAGCTGGTTTTCTCCTTTCACCGTGTGGGTTTGGAGGACAGAACTCTGGTCCCCATGCATGGCACCAAGTACCTTTACCAATACACACAGTTGTCTCACTGGACCACACTGGGATTTCGTTGGTTTGAGACAGTGTTTCTCTGTCTAAATGGCCTTGGCTGTCCTAGACACGTTTTGGGATTCTTACGTGAGCAAAACTTATTAGCTCCTTTGCCTGCCATACTTGCAGGCAGTGTCAATCAGTATCTTATGCTGACTGCCACTCCCCATTCATCTGCCTGGCCAGTGGGCACCCCCTCCTACTTTGTGAAGAGCCAAATGGTCCTAGAGACCCCACCTTACTGCCTGAGCGACCTAGCCCTCTTCCCAACGCCATGCCCCGTGCTCTGGCAGGCACTCACTGACACAGGCCGGCATAGCCAGGTGGAGTTTCCTTGCCACAAGCTTCATCCCTGAACCCACTGGGAACCTCCTTCTGTTCCATCACTCGGCAGCCCCCTAAGAGGAAGGAAGGAAGGAAGGAAGGAGTACATGTTGGGAGGGGGCTCTGAGCCCGGGACACCCTGCTTGAACAGGAGCAGTTCCATTACACTTTGGAGATGGTTTCAGAGGCACAGTGACTGAGAAATGGGGTGAAGATCTTGCTGCGCTACTTTTTACCAAAGTGGCTTATGGTCCATAATCACATTCGCTGTGTGTGTGTGTGTGTGTCTGCTTGGCATATTTTCCTCTGTTGTTATTTAGCTCCTGCACAGCCAACTTATTCTCTGGAGGTCTCACCTCTACCTAGAAGGCGAGCAGGGTAGACTAGAACCTTACTCAACATCTTTTGTTATGAGCACAGAACCTAAAAGTGTAGCCTAAAACTTAAAACAACTGGCAGGTACCATTAATTACTCAAGAGTTAATTAACAAAACTGAACTATTAGAGAACATGAACAGACACTTAAAGGGCCAAGTGTTTTAATGATACCTTAGGCAACACAGCTTAGCCATTAGGTGGCTATTATCCTCATTTCATGGGAAGAAACCAGCACGGAGAGTTTAATGACCATGCAAAAGGGCACATAAATGACCCCAGACCCAAGCCTCCCCCACATCTTTACCCATCACCATGGGAGCCCAGTCTACCATCTCCGCTTTAGAGGTTTGTCTGACACTTACCTCCAGGGACTGCTCGTGTCCCAGCTGGAGGCTCTGTATTAAACATGACATTATTGTCCTAGGGAGAAGTAGAGACAGGGGCATCGTCTGCCTCCATCCAGCCACTGTCCCACTTCCCAGCATTCAGTCTTTTCCACCCTTGCCCAGCCTGTTCCCTGTCTCCTAGCAATCTGCCCACCCAGGCAGGCTGGCCACCTCTGACCTGCAACAGTTTCTGGAGCCGGGCAGCAGTCCAATCTCGTAGGTAGAAGAGGCAGTCTCGAGGGTGGTGGCCATGCAGGGACTTTTTCACCTTGCAGTTAGGGTCTGGGCATTTCTGGTAAAAACCCAGACAGGAGAAGGAAGTTGGAACCTGTTGGGGTCCTAGACTCTCAAGAAGCCCTGTGCAAGGGGGCATGAGCATGAGAGGAGAGTCTGGAGCAAGCAAAAGAGGGAAGAGGACAGAGAGATGCTTTCTATCCTACTAACCTCCCCCGCCCCCTTTCCCTGGTCCCTCCCCTTAAGCCCCACAGCCGCCTCCCACCCCTTTCCTTCCCTGAACTCACGTTCTTAGCATAAAAGGCGTTGTAGCAGCCGCTGCAGAACTGGTGGCGGCACTGCGTGCAGTGGAAGTGCATGCAGCCTCCCCGGGCCAGTGCGTACGAGAACTTGCACTTGGGGCAGTCTATGAAGTGAGGGCAGCAGCTCAGGGCGGGGCAGCGCCGCAACACCCAGGCCCTCCAGAGGGGCGCTACTGCCGATCAGACTGTGAGCAGAGGCTAAGTGGGGTAGCCTTACCTATGCCGTTTTCTTGAAGGTACATTGCCAGGCCTTGAGCCTGGTACTCTGGGTCATTGGTGCGTTTCCAGTTCTGGAAATCCTCACAGCTCCGCCCTCTGTGCTGCTCCTCCCACTGCCAGGAGGGAAGGCGACTGTGATGGAAGCTTGGGCCCATGCCCAGTCTGCCCCGGTGGTCCCAACTTATTCACATCACTGCTGGCCACCACTCACTTAGATCCTAAAACTGAGGGCCACTCTTCTTCATTTCCCCACACTATGAGTCATCCATAAACCTTGGTTGCTCCCCTCAAACCTAACCTCTCTGTGCCCACTGCGACACCTCACTCCAGGTAACTGTCCAATCCTTCCAGTACAGCCTGCTCACTCTACCCCACTCTCCACTTTCAAAGTAGGTCTCAGGGAGCTTCTGTGGTGCTACTAGCATGCTAACCCTGAGGTCCGAGGGTAGGACCACAGGCATCATTTGGTTATGTTCTGTGACACAGATCCAAGGTTTCTAGTATCAAGCCAATCTTTTAAAAAACAAATGATAGTGTCACTCTTTGTGCTTAGTCTCAAAATGAATGCCACACACCCCTGTCACTTGGCCTCCAAGGCTGCCCTCTTGTGGCAGCTGGCTCCAACCACGTGCCTCTTGCTCTCAGAGATCTAGGTGCTCTTAGCTCAGCTTCTAGTCATTTCTTGACAGTGTGTAGTTATGGCTACTCTCTTCCCTTCCTCCATGTTCTCCTTCTCCAAGCCTGACTCCTCACCTAGGAAGCTTTGTGTTCTCTCTGCATGTGAGCGTGCACCCGTGTGTGCATGTGTGCGGAGACCAAGGTATAATGCCTTGGATCACCTCTTTGGGGACAGGGTGTCTCACTGGCCTGGAACACAACAGGATATGGTGACTGACCAGCAGATCGAGGGATCCACCTGTCAACACAACCCCTTAGTGCTGGAATTACAAGTGTATTCCACTACAGTTGGCTTTAAATTTCTCTTTTTATTTTTATTTTTGGGTGGGTGGGAGGAACAGGAGGCTTAAGACAAGGTTCCTCTGTGTAGCCCTGGCTGTCCTGGAACTAGCTCTGTAGACCAAGCTGCCCTGGAACTCACAGAGATCTGCCTGCCTCTGCCACCCAAGTGCTGGGACTAAAGTCACGTGCCATCACTACCCAGATTAAAGTTTTATTTTAAAAATGAATTTATTTAGCCAGGCAGTAATGGTGCATACCTTTAATCCCAGCACTTGGGAGGCAAAGGCATGCAGATCTCTGAGTTCAAGGCCAGCCTGGTCTACAGTGAAAGTTCCAGAACTGCCAGGGCTACACAGAGAAACTCTGTCTTGAACAAAAAAACAAAAGCAATAATCAGACAACAACTAGAAGTCAGTTCTCTCCTTTTACTATGTGGATCCTGGGGAAAGAGCTCAGGGTGTCAGGTCTGGTGACAAAACTTTAACCCATACCCACTGAACCAGCTCATTGGCTCTAACCCAGCTTTCAAAAGCCTCATCCAATGTGTATGTGTGTTTTGCCTGCACGTCTGTTCACGGAATGTGTGCTCGTGCTCAAGAAGACCAGAAGACGATGTGAGATCCCCAGGAATTGGAGTTACACTCAGGTGTGAGATGCCAT